TTTCAGCACTCATCAAGAACATACTTTTGGATACTCGAAGGTGGCTCATTGACATAAGCTTCAAGAACCTTACAGATCCTTTCTGTCAATTTGGCACTTCCTGTACATGTTTATAAACAATTCAACTTTGTTCTTGGATTCCAAGAAGGCCATCATTTCTTTGTCAATGGAAAAGCATCAGCACATGGAGGAAGCAGAATAAGAGAAACTCTGTTCTTAATTGGCAGAATTATGAATATAGCCCTTTTCAGTGTAATAACATGGAAATGCTTCGAATCTACAAATTCTGGCTCTACATCAAATAAGCATAGTGATATCCTAGTCCGAACAATTAAATGAAAGATGAATGTGTTCATAGCATCTTCTGGAAGTGTTCTTTGAGTTATCTGATCTGGTTGGACAGAACAATCATTGAGTTTAGAAGATGAATGTGTTCATAGCATCTTCTGGAAGTGTTCTTTGAGTTATCTGATTTGGTTGGACAGAACAATCATTGAGTTTAGAAGATGAATTTGTCAATAGCATCTTCTGGAAGTGTTCTTTGAGTTATCTGATCTGGTTGGACAGAACAATTATTTGGAAGATGAATGTGTTCATAGCATCTTCTGGAAGTGTTCTTTGAGTTATCTGATCTGGTTTGGCAGAACCAATCATTGAGTTTAGAAGATGAATTTGCCAATATCATCTTCTGGAAGTGTTCTTTGAGTTATCTGATCTGGTTGGACAGAACAATCATTGAGTTTAGAAGATGAATGTGTTCATAGCATCTTCTGGAATTGTTCTTTGAGTTATCTGATCTGATTCAGTAGGAACCCCAGAACCGATCGTTGGAATTGAAAGATGAACTGCATGATCATCTTCATTAAGAAGCTTATTTTCAAGCTTCTTCTGCTTCTTCCTTTTCAAAAATCATAGCCCAAGTTTTGCCTTTGCTTGTAATTGGGATCATTGCATAATGACTTCCTATCTTTTACTAGAAGAAGTACATCAGCAGCCTTAGTCATTTAAGCAGCACATATAAAATTTGCCAATTCTGCAATTGATGAATTTGGACCACACATCTCTACATGGCTATTGAAGCTTCAGCCTTTAAGAATCCCATTTTTGTCAAGTATAACAGTTTATTCTCCTCATCAGAATCAGAATTCAAGATTTCTCGGTATTAAAAGAACTATCGATATCTGTGAAATCATCTTGAAAGGTCACTTCATAATCAGATGAGTTGTTATCAGAATCAACATGTTGCCTGAATGCAAGCTTTTCAAGAGTTTATACTATTGAGTTTTATTCTCAAGAGGTTTTGTGACATTATATCTACATCTACATTTGTCAAAGATGATAGATTCTTTGATTTGAAGAAGACAGATATATTGGGTTTTTACAATTGAAGAAATACTCAATTCACCAGTCTGAAATCAAACAACTTAATATTCATGCATCATATTTAGGCATTTGCAAAAATAGATGCATTTTCATTCATTTTTATTCTTGCTGAATTTTTAACAGAAATTTCAAAGATTTTAGCAAAGATTTCGAATCCACTTGATGGATCATTTCTTCCAGAGAAAGTTCATAATGAGAAGAACTCATCTGAAGAAGGAAGAAGAAGTTCATAATGAGAAGAATTTGTTCAACCTTTTACCTGAATCCATCATTTGATGGATCAGTTTTTCCAGAGAAAGTTCATAATGAGAAGAACTCATCTGAAGAAGGAAGAAAAAGTTCATAATGAGAAGAATTTGTTCAACCTTTTACTTGAATCCATCATTTGATGGATCAGCTTTTCCAGAGAAAGTTCATAATGAGAAGAACTCATCTAAAGAAGGAAGAATTTGTTCAAACCTTTTACATGAATCCATTACTTGATGGAGCATCATCCCCAGCAGAAAGTTCATAATGAGAAGAACTCATATGAAGAAGAAAGAAGAAGAAGTTCATAATGAGAAGAACTTGTTCAATTTTTTGGTTTGAATTCATCATTTGATGGATCAACATTGCCAGGTAGAGTTCATAATGAGAAGAACTCATCATCTGAAGAAGGAAAAAGAAGTTCATAATAAGAAGAACTTGTTCAACCTTTTGGTTTGAATTCATCATTTGATGGATCAACATTGCCAGAAAGAGTTCATAATGAGAAGAACTCGTCATCTGAAGAAGGAAGAAGAAGTTCATAATGAGAAGAATTTGTTCAACCTTTTATCTGAATTCATCACTGGATGGATTATTTCTTCCAGAGAAAGTTCATAATGAGAAGAACTCCTCATATGAAGAAGAAAGAAAAAGTTCATAATAAGAAGAACTTGTTCAACTTTTTGCATAATTCTATCACAGAAGGAGATAGATTAGCATCAGCCTTTCTAGAGAAAGTTCATAATAAGAAGAACTCATCTGGAGAGAGAGAAGAATTTATTCAATATATCCATTATGATCAAAGTAAAGCCAAATGGATAAAAAATTTTATTATCTTTTCATCTTTGCCCTATTCTTGTTAATACAAGAATGAGCAAAGAGGGGCAGCTGAAGATACTAATTTTTTATCCATATTATTATTATTATTATTATTATTATTATTATTATTATTATTATTATTTTTATTTTTATTATTATTATTATTATTATTATTATTATTATTATTATTATTATTATTATCATTATTATTATTATTATTAATAAATATATATTAAATAAATATATATAAATAAATAATTACAGACCAATTACAACTGGACCGGCCTAGTTACAAACAAACCAGAACCGGTCCAAATTAAACCAGAAACCCTAAACATTTGGGGTTCCAGTTAGGGTTTCATAACCCTAATCTAACCGGCCGCCTCATCACAGTCGTTGGATCTGAGAGATCCAACGGTCCAGATTGCCCCAGATGGAAACCCTAGGGTCTGATACCCTAGGGACACGCGGCCGCCGCTGCTATCTCGCCGCCTCCGCCGCTGCCACGTCCCAACCGAAGACTCCAGAAGCTAGAACACCAGCCGTCCACGCCATGGCTACGGGGTGAGTCACCACTGGTAGTCCGGTGACTCACCGAGACCCCCTCGTCGGACCGGTCCGACGGCCACACCCACCATCCCAACCTGAAAAAAAAAACCAGAGACAAAAAAAAAAGAGAGAGACAGAACCGGAGAAAGAAAAAAAAACAGAGAAAGAAAAAAAAACTACTAAACCAACGATCTCAGTCAAACATCCAGCAACCAAAAACAGAAGAAAAAGGAGGAGAAAGACTTACCGAGGAGGCCAAACGTCAGATCTCACCAAAACCTTCGAAAAGCCGAAGGTATTCTTTTAGATTTGCTCCGATTGGGAGCCGTTTAACGGAAAAAAAACATCGGAACCGTCATTAGGACGGTCCGATCTACATTTAGATGTAAAAAAAATTTTCCGGCCACCGAAGACGGTGCCCGGCGGCGGTGGTTGACGGTGGACGAACGCCGACTGACGGCTGCCGGCCGGTTGGGCTTCTCTCTGTTTTAGAGAGAAGCGAGAGAAAATTCTCTCTCTCAGAGAAGAGAGAGAGAGGGAAAATGTGGGCCAGCCGGTTTTGGACCATATATAGGCCTTCCCGAACGACGTCGTTTCGGGAAGGACTATGCGCGTAATTAAACAATAGTTAAACCCCGTCCGCAGTCCTCCCAACTTGTAAACTTTACATTTTAGTCACTAAATCAAATTTATAATCCTTTTAATTTGGTTCTTTAATTTTAATTTTATTCATTTTAGTCTTTTATATTAAAATAATATATTTAGGATAAATAGCAGATTTAATCCCTTAATTTTAATAAATAATATTTTAATCCTTAGTTTATATTTTTAATTTATTTTATTATAATATCCGAATTTTAGATAATTTTATTTTAGTCACTAAATAAATAAAATAAAGAAATAGCATGTTTAATCCCTAATACTTTGATTAATATTGAATTAAGTTTTTAATTTTATTTTTACTATAATTTAGTCATTTATTTTATAAGTTTTCATTTATTTTATTGCTTTTAAAATATATTATTTTAGTGGTATTTTTATTGTTTTAATTTTATTTGTTTATATTTTTAAATATTTTTATGTATTCATAAATATATATATAATAAATCTGGAATAAATTTTTTAATGTTTATTTTTAAATATCGAAGAAAAGGACAGTCTTAATACAACTGGACGTCCTATTCTGATATTTTTTAAACAATATTATTTAAATTAATATTTATCAATATCAAAGAAAAGAGCTGTCTTAAGGCACCTAGAAGTTCTTTTCTGATATTTTTAAATAAATAAATATTTTTTTATATAATTTTGAAATAATAGGATTATAAATTAAATATATTTTTGAATTTTTATAATTTTAATAATAGAGACAATTTATAATTAAAAAGTACCAATTTTGGGCGTTGTAGGGGTGCTAATCCTTCCCTAAACGTAACCGACCACGAATCCCTTTTTATTATTAAAAAGAACGAATTTTTGGTTATAAAACGCAGATCAGTTCATATTTTAAATGATGTTTTCTTAAAAACTCTTTTAAAAGATAATTTTTAGGTATTCGACCTACCTGATCCAAAAGGCCGATGGTGACTCCCAAATTATTTTTCAAAACCATTTATTCACATCACTTTTTCAACCAAGTAAAAAAATTCGTGCCCGGGCGAAAACCGGTTACGACAAATACTCTATAATCATATTTCATTTGTATATTTACTCTAATATTATAATGTCAAACCATATATAGTTGATATATATAGACGTGCCCGCCGGAACTACAAAGGAAAGCTTATGGAAATTTCCTTGGTGACAAAGTGTTGATTACTTCATCGTTTTCATGTCGATATCATTAGCTAATTGTTAAACTGAATGCAATAATGCCGTGGAGGTTAGGTTAGAGACAAAACCGGAGAAACTCGCTTTCAGTTTACTTTTATATGTATATATATATAGTTGACTGGTGGAAGGCAGTAGGAAACCTGCTAACAGTTACCGGAAAACTTCTTGATTGACTTGAAATAGATCAGGTCGATTTGTTTATATCTAAGATGAGTCTCGCCCTTTGCCAATAAGCACTTTTCATTTCAAGCTCCTTCAATGGCACCTCCATCTCCAAAGGAGATCATAGAAGCAGCTCTTTTTGCCGCCGGTCCTTATGCTCTATCTTATTCGGACTCCAAACAGAAATGGCTTATTCTGAGACACCTCCTTTCGTTGCTTCAAGAGTTCCCCGGTTTCGAGCCCTCGACTGGTTGGTACATGCAAAACGATGGGACCGAGGTTAACCTTCTACGTGCCACTGGGTTCATCCATGTCTCCGATGATTCAAGTTCAACTCCTCCTGTTCCTCTAGTCATTTGGCTCCATGAGAATTATCCTCAAAGGGCACCTTTGGTCTTCGTCTCGATCGACCCCGAGACCCCGATTCATCGCCATCATCCTTTCGTAGACAACACCTCCGGTGAGGCGTCTTCGCCGTACCTCATAACATGGAAACACCCTTCGTGTGACCTCACCGGTCTATTGCGGAACCTCGTCCATCTTTTTAGCATCGATCATCCTTTCTCGTACACACCGACACCGGCGATAACGACGACGACGAAGAAGACGAAGAGTTTAGCTCACCCGTCCCTCGTTTCTCACAAGGAAGCCCTCGACAGACTCGTCGGCATGCTTCACTACGACATGGTTGCGTTGCAGGCCAGCACGTGTGATGAAATAGAGAATCTGTCTTTGTTGCAAGAAGAATTAAAGAGGCGTGATTCGTTTACTACGGCCATGATCGATGAGATGGATGAGGAGAGGAAGCGGCTGAAAGAGAGAGCCGACGATTGGGCCGACGAAAAGGATCGGCTGGTGAACTGGTTGAGGGTTAACGATGGACGAGCCATAATGGGGTTGGATGCAGGCGATGTGGGAGTCGAGGATGCGTTCGAGATGGATGAGATGTCGAGAGCCAGGCTAGAAACCTCGGCCGCCGATTTGGCTATCGAAGATGTGCTGTATAAATTGGACAAGGCACTTGAACTGGAAGCACTGAGCTTCGATTCGTATATTAAGCTGGTGAGGAGCTTGGCCAGAGAACAGTTCTTCCATAAACATAAAGAAATGGAACTAAATGAATCGACCAACCACCTTCAGCCATTGTCACGACCATAGAAGATTTCCCGACGGTGTATATTTTTCATATAGAAAAGTAAAGGGTTTTTTTATTATTATTTTACCTTTTCAGTTGTTAAGGTTTCTTATTGATTAATTTGGACCCAGAGAAGGAACTAAGATTTTGATTTGAAGGGGGCAAATTATAACTTTTCCAAAATATAGAGGTAATTGCATTATTATCCTATAAATATTTAAATTTTATATATAAATTAAAGGTTAAAAAATAAACTTTTGGCTGGGTGGGGGTCACAACCCCTCCCAAGTCCTTAGTGGTTCCGTCCTGAACGGACCCAAGTTGTATATATGTTTTTAGTGAACGAGTCTCTAAAATTTTTCTAAATTTATAAGGATTTAAATTTGAAACTTACTTAAATAAAATTAAATTATTTATTATTTGAATTAATCCGTGAAAATTAAGGTTTTTATTGTGATTCGATTTGAATAATGATACTAAAATATGGCATATAGTTAGACTAGATCGTTTGTATTTCAAGTTCCTCAATGTAAGTGACCGGTCCACGGCTCTAATTATTGAGTAGACAAAAGGTCAAGGCATAAATTAATATGGGTATATTATGTATTTATTGCATAAATTATAAGTTTTTGATATGTTTTAATATTTTAATATTTATTTTTTTAAAACATACAAAATATTTAGTTTTTATTTTATTTTAATATTTAACCGTTAAAAACTTAATGCGTTTCGTACGAAAATTATCATTTTTGATATGTTTTAGTTTCTAAACTTTCAAAATTTTCAAAACTTAACAGTACATTTTGAACGAAAGTATTAAAATGAAACAAAAAGTAAATTTTAAATAGGATTTAAAAAATTAAAAATTTAAGTATTAAAATAAATCAAAATTAATAATTTCAACACTAAATGTGTAATTTACTCTAGTCACATCTATGCGTATCTATTTTCGTCTAGGGATGGTCACGGTCAATGTTTTTCGACCAATTCGACTATTCTTTTTCCGTTTGATAGCTTATTTGATCAAGGTGCAATTTTATTTGATTTAATTTTTTAAGGATAAATTTGACATATATATATATATATTTATTTTATTCTATAAATAAAAATATAATTAAAAAATATATAAAAATATTATACTAATTATTCATGCAAACTATTATCGCAAGTCGAATTTGTTTAATTTTTTATTGTCCTTTCAATTATTTAAGATTTTATCATGATTAATATGAATTGACTAATGTTATATATTTAATTTTGATAGATAAATCTCTCAACAAAAGCCTTCTGCATGTATAATATTTCTAATTTTTTTTTTAAATTTTAAGTTATTTACCAACAATGATAATTAGATTTTAGTTTCTAAATTAGGATGAACAAAACTTAGTCAATACTCTAAAGAGTTGACCAAGCGAATGAAGTAGAAAGAGAGTAAACTACACCGATGGTCCCTTTTATTTTTGATTTATTTATTTTAGATATTAATTTTAAAAAGTTGATATTTTAATTAATGTCGGTTAACCTTGGTGAAGTACTATTGTCAACAATCAATAACAACGGGACACGTGTACATTTGACCGCCAGAGTGGTCTCAAGTTCAAGTTTATCATCACCGTTAATCCGGAAAAGGTACGGATCCGCTGCTATAGGCTCAGATTGTTCCCCTGTTCCTTCTTTTTGTTTTCGTGGTCTCAGAATTTGCCTGTAGGTGCAGCAGAAATTTCCTTTCTTGCGGGTTCACGATTCTTAACGTACACCCATTTGTTGGGTCTCGTTAGATCCCGTTCTTGCCATTGCATTGCCTTTTTTATTTTCAAATCCCACCCCTTTTCTTCTTTCGTTTCATGTTTGCCTTGTTCGTACAGTTTCTTATATCTGCATTGGGAAAATAGGCATCTTTGCTAACAATGGAGGTTTCTTATTGGATCTTTGTTTTTTCGATTCCCCTCCTCTTTTTGGCCCCGGGTCTTCCACAATTGAAAATTTTCACCAACCGTAAGTTCCCTTTGTTTCTGTATATTTGTTTATAATTTTAAATTTTGATATTGTACTGAATTGACATTATTGTAAGGAGTAGTCAAGAGTTGATTAGGATATGATTTGTTTATTATTAGCATTGAAATGTGACACTTTCGTTTGCATTTCTTTAAGATCTCGCTGGTACATTGCTGATTTCTTTTGTAGCTACTGCCGCCAATTACTTTTTTTGTAATCAGGACATTAACTTAAAAGTTTTTTTTTCCTTTTCTGGATGTGCTCCTGATTTGGGATAATACAGTTAGGCTTGAATGCTAGCTCCCAATGATATTACTGATTTGGTGTAATGTTCTGAGAGGCAATTTTGAATCAAGTTTGTTGGCCTCTCTGTCGAACAGACAACCCAACAACAACAAAACCCAATTCCCATATGCAATGGGGTAAGGGGAGGTAGGGTAGTAGGCTGCCCCAACGCCAGGTTGAGAGTAGCTTCCGTGGAAGACCTCCGACAGTCAGAAAATTAAAAATATAGATAAAATGCAAAGCATGTATAAATAAATACATAAATACATAGTTGAACAGTATTCATATGCAGTCATAAGAAATTTTGAAAATAAAAAATTACACCTTGATTAAAATTAAACATGCAATTGCTTAGTCAGATGGATCATGGTATCAATCTTCTGATGAAGTGACTTTTTTAGTATTGAGATTCAGGAATTCTTGTTACAGTTAAGGGTTCTTTCTCAGTGGTGTTGTTTTTTGTAGTTCCTTCTTCTTATTGAACTAATCCTGATTTTTTTATTCTTGGAGTCTTTCACTTATTCCTGGTAGGTTCCTATTTATGATTAGTGTAGGTTTACATGAACGAATCGATACTTATTAGGAATTATCTATGAAGAGGCAAATTGCTATTGGAGGGTAAAGCGACATTCATTGATTGAGTTTGTGTTGTAGTGCAACTAAATAAGTGAAGCTATATGATAAAATCCATATGATTGTGCTTGGTTTGCATCATTACTAAATAATGTGCTTTGCTGCTTTAATATGGGGGAGAATTTCTTATCCGTTCCACAGAATTGAAAATTATAGTCATTAGATGCTTGGTTTCCAGTTCGTTCAATAAGTATAATGCTTATGCACAAGAAGTTGCATTACTTTTCCAAAAAAAAATACTGTGCTCTTGTAGCCAACTTTTTGGGCATATGCACAATAATAGCTAAAAGATATGTGCTTTTGCAGGAAAATTTTGATTTTCCCTCTCTTTCAAGTGTAAATTAAATGTGACAGACAAATGCCATCTTGGAACCGGATTTGAATTTAGAAGTGGCCTGCTAGTAGTTTATGCCTTTACTTTATCTGACACTGGTCTCTTTTCCCTTTCTTTTACTATATATAAACAGGTTTCCTATAGTGGAGCCTGATCCTGGCCATACAAAGCTTCGACTTTCAAGGGAAGGCTTGGAAGCTATCAGTAGAATAACTACCCCAATTTCAGCAGTTGCTGTAAGTTATAGAAGCCATTCTTGCAGTTTATTCTTGTCCACCAACTGTAAATATCCATTAGGCTCAAAATGTGAACTGCTAAAGCAAATGTCACTACAAAGAAATAAGAAAGACTCTTTTCCTCCTTCCAATGCCCGTTAAGTATCTTAACGGTTAAGAAGGGGTTTTTTAACGAGGCCTATTTCCTATATAAAAAAAAGAAATAAGAAAGACTCCAAGTAGTTTTTAGACTGAAAATGTGAAGTGCTAAAGTCTGTACACCCCCCTTTTCCAACCCAAGCAAATAAGAAAAGAAAAAAAAAGCTTGCTGATGTTATGAAAATGCTAGTACGGGTGTTGGGAAATTCATCCCAAGTATGATTGTTGAAATCTTGATGGGAGGTAAATTGGGGAAATTTGACGCACTGAATCATTGGTTTTGATAATTTATAGTTATCATACTGGAATGTTTGTAAAATTTAGGATTCAGATCATACAATATTTACTGATCTCTTCAATGATTTCAAACAAGTTATTTCACATCAAACTTGAAATTCTACCTAATTTTGTTTCTAGAATAATTCCATTGGTCTTGTTCTCCAACACTTAATCTTTTTGGATTTGTACATCCAGGTCATTGGTCCCTACCGTTCTGGCAAATCTTTTCTTCTAAATCAACTTCTTTCACTGTCTTGTGATGAAGGTGCATTCTCACTGCCATATGCTATTTTGTAGTGACTTTCAGCACTCTTTTATATTTTTAATTGAGATTTATTTGATGACTTATTGTTAATGCTTTTTCCTGTTCACCCCTCAGGATTTGGTGTTGGACACATGCGTGACACAAAAACAAAGGGTAAGAGACTGTAATGATATTACAATTTTGCATAATGGTTACACAGTTGATGTTTACACTTTTCTGTATCAGGGATTTGGGTTTGGGGAACCCCGCTAGAAATGGATATTGATGGAGTACGAACTTCTGTTTTCTACCTTGACACTGAGGGTTTTGAAAGTGTTGGGAAGTCTAATGTATATGACGATAGGTAATTTCAGCATGTCACTGCATCTGTGCTTCAACTTTCTTTTTATGGTATATATGTAGTTATATTGCATTTCTGATTTCTGTTGATGCAGAATTTTTGCATTGGCAACTGTTATGAGCTCTGTGCTAATTTATAACCTGCCTGAGACGGTTAGTTATTTTTTTATAACTAGTTTTTAGATGCTCTGATCTGGAAATTTGCCATATTTGGAAGTTGAAAAGGCTAGTGTTTTAACCTCTATAATTCAAGTTAAAGTCCATGAGTCTAAATGTTTCTGGAGATATAAAATTTGGACAACTTCGTTATGTATTAAATTATTCTTTTGACTAAAATTTGCTTTAGGGCACTGCATATGAATGTTAGTTTTGCTAGATAATAAATGTTAATTACGTCCGAGATTCTTGGGGTTAAAAAGAAATTGGTTTATCTTCATGAAATGTTATTTTAAATTGAATAATGTCTTGCAATAAAAGAAATTCTGCACAGTTGCCTCCTCTTCTTGACTGAAATTGATGTGCTATCCTGGTATTTTCTAAGGACTTCTCTTACTATAAGTTTATAAAAGTGATGCTGAGTATTTTAGCATTAAAGGTCTTTGTTTAGCATTGCAGTCTTTCCATCAGGTTGTGAGAGTCAAAAGTGTTGAAGCATAGAATTCCC